GCACATTTTTATTAGCATTCATCAAAGAGACACATGCTATGAGGAATATAGACCATCAGTATCATTTCATTTATTAAATTTTTTTCAAAAATACTTCATTAAAATTAGTTTTACAAAGATGGTTCTTGAAGGGAAAATTTTTCTATTTTTCTGGGAATCACATATTAATTGACATGGCTATCTCTGATATTGCCAGATATAAGTTTGCTTTTGACAAAAATTGTTTTGCTCAAACTTGTTACCTATCTGTTTGCCAAACCTGATTTCATATGTTTTCTGGTTATTTTCTATAATTAAATTACCCCTAATAATTTTGGCCCTCCATTTAAGGGATAGTACAGGCTTTTGAAATTTATTCAGCATAGTTTTTTTCCCTGCTATTTCAGAGACAATAAAAGATAGTATTAGCAGGATGCTAACATAAACATCAAATTTCATAGCCATTTAGTAGCCATCTCTTCCTTTTAAAAGATAATCCTACTTTCTTCTCTGCTTTTGGTGGTGATGGTGGTGTTCAGAAACTACTAAAAGTGATGAGTGAAGGGTTCTTTTCATTCTCATATGATTTGTTGTTGTTTATATTTTCCTTCTGGTATCTAAATTGTTGATGGGAAGTTGCAACTGTTAGAATAACCTATCAAAAATGTCTCTTGAAAAATTTTTCTTCCCTTTTAGTTCTCTGGTAGAGTGAAGTCTTGATTAATAAATAAATGCCTTGGCAGTCCTCCAAGAGTGAATGCAACCACATAAAAAGAATGCATTTTCATGAATTATGTGTGAGTTGTAGCTGTCTGTGCATCATATATGCATATTCTACCCTAATTGTATATAAACTCAAGTAAGGGCAACATTTGAAAGCCAGTAACTAACTTTCTTAGCCTAGACATGGTTTCTTTTCCTTCCATGGTGAGCGCTTTCTTTCTTTATAAATGAAAATTGATGTACTTTTTACCTCTCTTTTCTTTTCCAAACAGAGAATACCATTCATTTTTATTTATTGTTTAGAATGTTATCACCACCATGCCTTTTCACTTAAAGTGTTTGATGTCTACTTGTGAGATGAACATCTTTCTCATCCTCAAGTTTAAAAAAAAAAAAAAAAAATTAGATGTCCTTGAGTGAGGGATGAGGCAGGAGGCAAAGAGGATAGAATAGGTACAGGTAGACTCAATAGGCTTAGACTTGGAGCTGAAATACTCCATCACCTTGACTCAGATGGAGAGCCCAAGTAGTAAGATGCTCGTCTCAACAACTGCTCAAGAATCCTATATTCTCTTTTCTCCCTCATTATTTTTCTGATTTATGCCAACCCTGGCAGTATATCTCACCTGCATGAAAATGTTCTTCTTTCTTGCCCACAGTGTAGAAAAATGTCTTGTTAGAGATTTATAGAGATAAAAGGGACATTTGGAATGAGCAGTCTTTGCTAGGAAATTTAGGATAGGATAACAGAGTCCGACATAAGCATATTTCAAGGCTTGGCATTTTGATTCTGATGTTTACACTGTAAAGAGAGAGGGATGGGGAAGCATGCTTGTTTAAAAACTCTGGTGGCTGCCTGATCCAGGCTTGAGGGAGAATATCTCAGTTTTAGGGTGCTGTTTCTCCAAGTATTGTTATCATCAGATTATCCTGGGTGCGTCTCAGAAGGACTAACCAAAATACAGAAAAGTGGGCTTGGTTTTAACAAATTCACCATGATTCTTCTGATACTAAATTTGAATAGCAGTTGTTTAAGAGTCTAGTGTTAAGGGCCTCCCTGATGGCGCAGGCCCGCTGCTCCCCTCAGCAGTGTATTTCGTCAGTCTGCCTGTTCTGTTCCCCACTCTGTCTCTGGTGAATCCTCTCACCCTCCCATGCATCTGGCCTGTACCCTGGTTCTTTTATAAAAATAAATAAATCCTAAAAAAAGAAAAAGAAAATCAGTTTGAACTTGAATCTGTAGTAGTATGGGAATCCCATGGCAGCAGTAGAAAGAAGTCTGTTGTTCTTTAAGATCACTGTAGTATTTTTCTTCACTCTTGCTCAGTCTTTGCATGTATTATCCTGAGTGCAGTATTCTTCTTTCTTTTCATCTTCAGTCCCATTTCCCCTTCTAAGTAGAAAATTCTTTTTCTAAGAAAGCCTTTCTCTTTGGAAAAATGAGAGCTTGTTCTCAATCAGCTCCAGAAAGATTTCTATAACCCTTAACTGCTAACCCCAGGAGCCTCCTCTTGGACATGGCAGAGCCACTACCCACTTAGGTGTTATTTGCATAGACCATTGCAATTTATTCATTCGTGTGTGTGTGTGTGTGTGTGTGTGTGTGTACTAGTTAATGTCAAATTTAATTGTCCACATATAATTGAGCCAAGCCTAGTGTCTGACCAGGGGCTATTGCTCCATAAACGATTGTCAAGTGAATGAATAAGGCTTTTTGACACCATTTTCTTTGGTTTTTGTCATCTCTGCCATAAAGAATGGCTGGATTTGTATTTGTGTAAAATTAAGTATTTTAAACAGTTTGTATTAACCTTGGCTTCTTGTAATTCTTCTAAAAAATGTATTTTAAGAACAAAATAAATGTAACAGTGAGGAAATTGTGATGTTTTGGGGATCTAAATACCTGTGAAGTACCTTTCTTAAAATGTCACAAAATGTTTCATAAAGCTCCAAATAAATTTAAGGGAGGATTTACTGGATTTTGACTAAGTGCTGAAAGAAAAAATATTATCTTAAGTCCCTGTCCAAAAAAAGTCCACTTAAATATGCGGGTAATACTTATTTCGGAGGAAGATGGGGTCCCTGCTGCAATCCTTAGTTTGTTATAAAGAAAATACTTTGGTATTCAAATGTTTTGGAGAAGACTTAAAAGCATTTTATGACTCAGATAGAAAGTCATAAAAGTGGTAACAATGTGACATGTCTTGTAAATTGTCATCATTTTCTGGAAGTACTAACAATATCAATCCAGCAGGCATTTTTATATCCAAAAGTAATTAATTTGTAATGCTTTAATGTAAACTTCATTAGTCTTGTGGCTGTTGTACTGGTTTGTTACATTATATTGTTTAAAAATAGGTATTCATTCCAGTATATAGGAGCTAAATTCTATCTTTTACTACAGGCTTCAAGAAATATATTTATTATTCATTCCTTTGAAGAAATACAATCTCAGGTCTGCACAAAATATCTTTTGTTAAGATAAGTCACAACCTTTTAAGTTTCTCTAGAAATACTCCATATTTAATATCCAAAGAAATCACAAACAATAAAACATAAATTAAAGTGATGTTATTTTCCTCCCTATTGTAACTCCTTTTATTAATAGAATTCCAATTCAGAGATCTCTTACTGTTTGTTTGAGTAAAATAATCATACATAGCTTTTCACAGTATTTTACAATTTATAAATAAGTTTTTAAATAAATATTTCGATCTTTTCAGCTGCACTCTATAGTGTAAATAGTAATGCTATTATATATATTACCAAGTTCCTTTACTATATACTTGAGGAAGTACAAGATCGGGAATATCAGGATATGATTCAAGATCAAATAGGAGAGCCATATGCAGAACGTATTTCCAATTAACATCCTCTTTTAACTCTGTCTGTGGTAAAGTCACAGATAGAGTTTGTGTTTGTTTGTTTGTTTTTTTAAATATTTATTTATTTATTTATACAAACCCTGGGGTACAGGCCAGAGGCGGGGGAGGGTGAGAGGATTCACCAGAGACAGAGCAGGGAGCAGAACAGGCAGAAGGACTGAAGTACACTGCTGAGGGGAGCAGCGGACGAGGCAGGAAAGGTCTGCTTTGCTATGTGGGAATCTCCCTGGCAGGCCAGGAATAGAACCAGCGTGTCAGAGGCTGTGGACAGCTTCACAGCGTGGCACTCAACCCACTGCGCCACCAGGGGAGGCCCTAGAGTTTGTGTTTTAAAAGAAGTTTAAGACATGTTAAAACATTACTGTTCATGGTGAGAAGTAGTGGTCTAGTTTCATTTTTTTGCATGTGGAGGTCCAGTTTTCCCAGCACCATTTATTAAACAAAGGATACAAAAACAGTGATTCAAAAGAGCACCTGTACACCTGTGTTTATTGCAGCACTTTATTCCAGGTAAAACCTGGAAACAACCAAAATGCCCAAAAATAGATGACTGGATCAAGAAGATGTGGTACATATACACCATGGAATACTATTCAGCCATCAAAAAAGATAAACTCATGCCATTCACAACAATGTGGGTGGAGCTAGAAGGAATTATGCTCAGTGAAATAAGCCAGAAGGGAAAAGAAAAATATTGGATGGTTTCACTTATAACAGGAATATAGGAGAACCAAATAGGACATCAATGTAAAAAAAAAATAATTACAGTACAAACCACAACAAAGCAAAAACAGACAATTGTAAACCAGAGACATCCTGCAGGGGAGGAGGTGGGAGAGGGATCAGAGGGAGGGAGGGAGGAGCACAGGGGACTGTGGTGATGATGCACGGGTGCTTTGGGGAAGGGAATTCTATGCGGCCTCAATCTGAGGGGGTGGGAGGAAGCAAATATTGTCTAAAAATGTGAAAAAAATGATAAATGTTAAAATAAAAAAATTAAAAAATGTTAATTATCTATTTTCAGTTAAATGATTTTGTAATACTGCCAATTCTATTTATATCATAGAGCCAATCTCAGTATCATCAGCTAAAAATGAGGGCTATGTCTTTACTTTCTGGGATATAAACCTCAACTAATATAGAATGAAACACATAAACCAAAATATTAATGTGTCTGTATGCTGGTCTATTTGATATCCTTTCATTCCCTCTTAAGAGCCTTTGGATAAATTACCCTCTAGTGCCTGCATTCTGTGTTTTTTAAATCAAGTGTCAGATAACAAGCCTGTCTGAGCGGTATTATTTTTTCTTATAATTCAAATTCTTTATGAGTTATTGTTAGCAAATCTACCATGAAGTAAATTGCAGTGTTCTTTATAGGTCTTTGTTTAAATGTGTTTTCTTTCCACGCAGAGTAAAAGAAGCTGAAGAGGTATGTAGGCAGAAGAAGGGGAAATCACTTTATAAAATAAAACCAAGACATGACTCTGGAATTGTAAGTAATTAGCTTTTCTGATTTTTAACTTATGGTTTATCTTTGACTTTTAAACACTGTTTTCACAATATATACAAACTTAAATATATACATTGATGTGTATCCTATTACATTTGCATAAATAATAAACCTTTGACTAAATGAATTTCCTTTACCTATTGCCATTTGTCAGGAGTAGAGGACTAAGAAAATCTCAGCATTTGAAGCTTAAGAGTAAAATTAAAATTAAATAATTTTAAAAATTATGATAAATTTACTAAGAGAGTGCAAAACTCAGGGGATAAACTGTCAATTTATTCAGTATATACAGTCTCAGTCACAGCACAGGCTAATTTGAACCCAGAGCACCCAGAGTGGTTGTTACAATTTGAACTAAAGCATGATGGGAAGTGCCAGGTATAGTCATGTCCTTTGCTCAGACCAGAGAACTGATTTTTACCCTTAAATGGCTATGCAAAGTTGGCTGCTTAACAACTCAGTCAATAGGCTGGTTGAGTTTTACAAACCAATCTAAAGGTTCTTTCTTGTCCTACTTCTTTCTCTAAAATAAAATTGGCAAAAATAAATAAATAATTTTTTTAAAAAATGGCCAGTTGTATACCATAGCAAGAAAGAACATGGTAAAAACTGATGAGTTTTCTCCTGGAATACTGTTAATGTTTTGTCGAATGTTTTAAAGGATTATCATTTCACACCACAAAGTAAGTAATGATACTGTTTTTTTTTTTTATTAAATTTATTTATGCATACAAGAACTGGTATGTAGACCAGAGGTATGGAGGGTTAGAGGATTCACCAGAGACAGAGTGGTGAACAGAACAGGTGGATCTACTGAAATACACACTGAGGGGAGCAACTGGCAAGACAGGAGAGGTCTGCTGTGCCATGTGAGTTAGCTCCCTGGCGGGGGATCAAACTCATGGCTCAGTGGCCTCCTATAGCTTAATAGTGCTGTGTTTTTAAGCCCTGCACCTCCAGGGAAGCCCCAATGATGATATTTTAAACAGAAAATTAGGTTATACCTAAAAATAGGAACATTTTGAATTGGATTAGTTTAATGTAATCTAAATGGAAGAGATATTAAAATGATCCAAATGGGCATATGATTAAATAACCCCATTAAGTAAAATGTTGAAATTATATCTTTAATTCAAAGGATTTTCCCTTCCATTTCCCTGTATCAAAATTAATCTGATCTAATGACAAATATATTACAACAGTATATTTTCTGTCTCTTTGATTATAGTACAAGCATAAAAATTATTGAGTGAGGAGCTATGATTTTTTTTATTAGTTCACATCAGTCATGTTGTGAGGGCAGAAATTAAATCACTTTAAACATGAAGTGAAACAGATGTTTCCATGTTCATATATTTATATGTGTGTTGAGAATTTGAATGGTAAGTTGGCATTCTTTCATATCAATAAGAAGCTTAAATTTTAAAGCTTCTTTTTCTCAAAAATATTTGATGGCTTGTCTTGGTAAAATTTTAAAAGATAAAAAATATATTCTATTCATAGTGTTTTCTTATACCTTTCCCCAAAGAATTTGATTAAATGAAAAGATGTTATTTGGGCTATTCTAAACTCCACACATCTTTTAAAGTTCTTTCTAACTATATTTTTTATCTGTACATTTATTTTCAGAAAGCAAAGATAAGCATGAAAACCTGAACAATGAAGAGCAGATTAACAATGAATCATTGTAAACATTTCCACACAATTCAACTGACCTGAGGGTGGAAAGGAAACAGCATCATATGACAATATTTCTTCTTGACCTCTTGCATAATCTTTGTGTTTTCTAGACAGTTCATTGTTTGTTAAATTTTACTGTGCATTCATGTAATAATGTAAAAGCAGTATACCAGTTGACAGCTTTTCTTTTTGTAAAAGTTTATGGTATTATACTGATAGACCAAAACAGCATGTTTGGAGGCAGTATCTGCATTAATTCTGAACATGCTAAATATAAACCTAAAATTTACTTTTGTGGCAATATTCCTTATCACAACAAGATGCTTTCTACTGATGACCTATGCTCCATGCCACTGAATTTAGTTTGATGAGTAAAATGTTATTTCTAGTGCATTGTTTGTATCAGTTCATGTCTACATACACATTTTCTATTTTAAAATTTGCGGATGATTTATGTCATAATCACAGCTTTCCCAATTCTTGGATTGCTCTTCATGGCTATATATTTGTGGACGAAGATTATCTCTTTTTATTCAAGTCAGAAGATGAATAAAATATTATAGCAAAAGCAGAAAGAATCTTTTCCTATGAATCATTTAATATAGGCAGAAATTAGAATTTTAAGCGTAATGAGAGTTTTTGTCAGTGTCATTAGAGGCTCTACAAAAAGGTAAACTGCAACAAAGGTAAATCAAAAAGAAGGCGTGCCTCTCTATATTTTGAAGGAATTTAAATAAATGATGATTGTAAACCAAACATGACTAAATGTTGGCCAAAAAATAAGTTTTTGCATGGATTGGCATCTACCTAGAAACTGAATTAAACTTAATTAAACTGCCTTAGTATTTTGAGATGATTTGGGCTGTTTTAATGTGTCATTGCAGGTGATCACAAGCTGTAAAATGAATATGTAATGATTCATTATCTGAAGGAGGCTAGGAAAGAATTTTATTTTATTAAAGGGGACAAGGTAAATCTCCACTAATTCCTTAAAGCTCAGCTCATGATGCATATGAAGGTTTTGTGAAACATTAATAGGTTTTTAAAAAATTATTTTCATGATATTTATTGGGGGTTTTGTTTGTGGATAAAGTGGAGAACTTATTGCAAACCAATTATGGAAAGCAACTTAAAAAGTAAAATGATATTCTGAATTATAACTTTGTTTATATTATATAAAATATGATCTCTTGCCATTTAGTTTGTAGTTCAAGTGCGAAGAAATAGTTGTGGGTTTTTTGTTGTTGTTTTATAGTCTTCCTGTCCCCTTTCATCCCTCCAATGTGTATATTGCCATTATTCAATGAAATAATAGGGCATTTAACAAAGATTGCTATGTGCAATACTGTATTTAGTGTTTCTATTTCAATTTTTCTAGGATGTTAATTTATATTAAAATAAAATGAATAATAAAATAATTCAAGAAGTGCCTCTTATGTGCATATAGCCCAGCCATCACATTTGACATTGGAGTGGGGAATAAGTTAGCTGCACTTGAAAATTTTTGAAAGTTGTTATTTCAGTCTTTTTTTTTAATATACAGTGCTATATTTTTTTATTATAAATTTTATTTTTATATTCCCCATACAATTGCAACCCCCTTATTTTGACCCCAATCCCTCCCCTCCCCGCCTCCCACCCCCTATAGACTGTCTCTGGTTCATAGTTGTTTGTTGATTTTGATTTTTACTTTCCTGTAGTTATTCTTTTTCCTGGTCCCTTATTTAAGTTTTCTAGATTCCTGCTATGAGTGTTATTTCAGTCTTAACAGATATTAATAGTTAAGTATTTGATGAATATTTCTTTTTAGAGATAAAATAATTACTACCTCAAAACATTTACAAAAGAGTTGAAATGTTTCTTATGCAATTTTACAGAATAAGGATTCCCCAATTATGAACATCAATATATTATTTTAATAATTTTTTTCCTAAAAGTTAGAAATTAGATGCAGAAATTTACCAGTCCAGATCAAGTGGTGAAGAACCACTGAAGACAATAAGGCAAAGAGAAAAAATAATGGTGCAAAAGAGACAGATATAGAAGAGAAATTTAAGAAATGGAAACTAAACTCTGTGTTAATGGAGAAGCATGAAAATGTTTCTTTTTCCTCATAAATAAACTTTGCATTTAGGTTTTATCTACTCAGTATAATATCATTAACTGTGCATTTTCCATTTACCTGTGTCAGTACATGGTTCTAATAACCACACAATAAAAGGGAAAATAACAAAGCATCTTCAAAAAACTGATATCAATTTGCAGGGGAAAAGTTTAAAGAAAAAATGTTGATGCAGGATGTAAAGGTGACCTGACTGCGACTTCTGTCACCACATTGATTGCCAGGGTTGATTCGGATGATATGTCTGGCTAGGCGGGAAACTCCTTCCTTCCTCAGTGCTCCATGAGCCTCCCTCCTGAAGCTGTGAGCTCTACTGAAGCGGGCAGCCTTCCCTAATAGAGATGGACCATTCTTAGGTCAAGGGTACCAGTACCTGCACCCCCCCTATTAGAACCTCCAGACCAACTCTCAAAAATGTTGATTCATTGCAATTCAGAAATGAACATGAATTGTCCAATTCAGATAATAAAAAAAAAAACAACCACTAAGTATAGAGGGAATAGTAGGAGTTAATTAATTGAAGAAGGAAAAGAGAAATCTTCAAATGGGAATATAGTGCTCAAATGCATGAAGGAAACATCCTTTCTCTTATTAGTTGCAACTAGTTCAGATTAGATGGAGGGAACAAAACATAAATAAGAAAATATCAAAGATGTTATTAGAGACATAGTGGGAGAAACTTAAATAATTTTCTAATAGTTTTGGGTCAAGAGTAGCTAAGACATAAATGCTTTTGTGCCAGCAACATTGACATCAACTGGATGTTTGTCTGAAATGTAATCTTAAAAGTTTTCCAGATAGTGGGAGGGAGGTATTGAGCTAAGGAAAAAAGGGTGGAAAATAGAGGTGCAAAATAGTTTGTCACCTTTAATGAAGAATTAGTTCTATACAAAATATGAGGTGAGTAGTGATGAGGGAAAATATGCAGGATATTGTGCTAGATCTTTGAAATTTTTAATAATAAGAAACTGCATGGAATTATTGGTGGTAACATGGCCTCTTCCATTTAATAAGCCTTTTCTATATGTACCAATATGATAGATATAGTGGAGATAAATAAATTTGGAGACCAGAAGATCTTTAAAGAGCCTTTGCATTTAAGAAATAGAAATTAAGTAAGATATTACTAGCAGAGATAAAAAGTTAGAAGTGACAGGAAGATATGTTAAGCAGGTAAAATACATAAGAGAACTTCTTGAATTTTTAGGTGTGAGAGAAAATAAAGCAGATTGAATTTCAGACAACAGTATGGTTGCTTGACTAGATTATTTGATGAAGAGTGGCTTCGTGAATCAAAAGAAGTAAAACAGGGGAAATGCCTCAGCCAAGTTTCTTCATCAGAGTCAGTGCTACAGAGAAACCTTTTCTGGTAAGCTTCTCAGATAAAGAACCACCAAGTCTTTATCCCCTTAATCAACTTCATTTTCTTCATAGTACTGTTCACTACCTAATATTAGTCACATGGTTCTTAGTATATAGTTTGTCACATACTCAAATTTAAATACACAACAAAACTTTTTTTCTCCCAACACTAAATCTATAACATTCATTGTAGTACACGGCATTCAATAGATTTGCTTTAGTGAATAAATAAATGAGAGAAGGGAAAATTTTCATGAATGAAAAAGAATGAAGATTTCATAAATGTGTGTGGGAAAGTCAGTTGAAGATTTGTAGTAGACAGAAGTTATGAACCAGGAACTCCCAAGAGAGGTTTAGTTCTGGAAATTTTGTAAAATCCATCTTCAGTCAGGTGGTCGTTGAAATCAAGTAGATTGTTAAAAATACCTAGGAAAGTAGGAATTTTTAAAAAGAGAAAAAATATTTTTTTCTGTTTCTTTGGCTGGAAGAAACAAATATATTTAATAACTTGAATAAATAATTTTATTTAATAAATGTTTATAAACAATGTTTAAAAACAACAACAACAACACTGTTTTGTTGTAATCTTGATGAGAAAAATACGATTTCGCCCAAAATTGAACTAAAGGACATTACTTGAGGACCTGCTTTCATTGTAGTCAGTTTGTTTAAATTTTCAGTTTCCAATAACCTATTGAAGAGCGGGAGTACTGTATTGCAGATGTCAAAGTAAACAGCACTTGTAAAATAAAGTCTACACTGATAGAATCTTACTGTCCTTCAAGCATACTAGTATTGTAAATAATACATATAATAAAATATAGGTAATAAATTGACTTACTCGATATTCTTTTTAAAGCTTGCTTGAGAGAAGCTGTGTAGAAAAGGATTTAAAATACTGCTTTTGAAGTTCCACTCCTGGTATTGCTGATTAAGCCTCTAAGAGACTAACCCTCCCACAGATTAACTATTAACTCTGAACAAAATATAAAAGCAAACACTAGGAGGCACTAGAGAGTAAATAAAGTTGGAGATTGTGTGGTGAGGGGAAACTGAAAAAGAGACAGGAACTTAGGGCAGACTTCAGAAATGGTGAATGCATTTAACAGTAAACCCTTCAAACCGACAGTCTTTTTGGACAGAAGAGTGAGACAAATCCTCTAATGTCCTAGAGAAGAAGAGACCTTGTTAGTCAGAATCTTATATCCTGTGAAAGTATAAAGAATGAAGGTGAAACTGACTCTTGCATACATAAGAAAACTATGAATATTTGTCACTAGCAGATCTGCACTATAAGAATGCTACAGTTCTTCAAGTTGAAGAGAAATGGTACCAAAGAAAATTTGGATTTTTAGGAAGAAATAACAAACTTTGCAAATGGTAATACCTAACAGAATATAAAAGACTCTTGTTTTTAATTTATTTTAAACATTGTTGAAACCCAAAACACGGTCTAGCCTCTATTCATATGTTACTAAATTGATTTTTCCCTTTCTGATACTGTTTTAATTACTCATCCAGACTGAGAAGGTGGGGAACTTTTCCCTTGTGCCCTTAGAGAAACAATAATAAAATGTGGTAAATTAACTAGGCAAAAGATTCATATACAGAAATCAAAAAGTCCCATGTATACAAGGAATTTTCATTGTTAAAATAAATTTGGAAAGGTCCTCACTAAAATATCAACCAAAATGTTGCATAGTATGGTATAAATTTAATAAGAACTGTGTAATATTGATATAAAAACAAATGAGAGGCCCACAAATATGAAAGTTTTTTGTTTGGAAATGTCAGTACTCCCTAAATGCATACATAAATTTAATGCAATAAAAAAATACCAACAATACTTTGTGTATGTACATGTGTGTGTGGGTGAACTACATAAAAGTTGATACATAAAAATAAATTAACATAAAAGTCATGAAGATTTTGGAAGATAAAAAATGTGAAGTAGAAAGAGCTGGCTGAACTATCTATTAGCCATATCAGAAAGTGAAAATAAGTAATTGTAATGACAGATTTTGGAAATTTCTAAATAAAATTGCATCCATTTTATGTATTGATAAATAAGATGTATATTTTGTTAAGGGAGGAAATTCATGAAAAAAGCTTGTAATCTATGTCATTTTTGTGTGGGGAAAAATTAAGAAACAAAACTGTGTATATGCACTCTTCTTTATGCAAAAATAGGAGCAATGTGATTACTGAATCCAGAAATTATCAGGCATAGACTATCTCTGGAAGCATGAACAAACAACTGCTAATACTGTTTTTTCTGGAAAAGGGAAAATGATGTGTTATGGAATAGGTAAGAGAGATTTTTTTCACTGTCAGTTCCTTTGGATGCTTTGGATTTTGTGCAGTGTGAAAGATAAGTAAATATAGAAATATTTTATAATTAATTTTTTTGAATGTATCTTATTTAAATATCAGATGGCACTTATGTTGGTCCTTATGTTGAATCTAGGAACAATGCTTTCAGTGGCTTGTGATGCTTGCGCATTACTACAACTACACACTCAGATATATCCTCTGAAAAAGACCAAGAAGATTCTCACACTAGACCACAATGGAGATTTGTAAGGGTGGGAAGACAGCAATATTTGTCTATTGCAGGAATGGAAAAAAAAAAAAGTCAGGGTGGTCTTTATTATTCCAGTACTGGCTACATTTTATCCTATAGTGGTCTGATTTTTAAAGTCACTTTGGGCTTTTTATTTCACAGTAGGACATTTTGGTAATTCTTTTTTTTTGGTAATTCTTTTTTTAATTAATTAATTAAATTATTTATTTTTTATATCATTGTTCTTTTTTAAATAACGTTTGCTTCCCCCCACCCCCTCAGGTGTAGTCCCCATAGAGTTTCCTTCACCAATGTACCCGTGCACCATC